TGCGCAGGGGGACGGCCGACTCCGACTTCAACGGCTGAGCTTTCAGCATCAAGTCCACGTGATAATCCGCCAAGTCTCGTTTGTTTTGATATCGCGAAATCAAGGCGTCATAAGCTATCGCGTAGTTATCGGCGGAGAGAAGGATGTTCTTGACGACGTTCAGCGCTTCTCCTTTCAAGCAGGATATCAGATATTGATACTTCTCTATGGTAGGGACGTTCCGGTTCTCGTGAATAGAGATGTTGTATAACGCGATGAACGAGGGCCAAAGCGTGAGATCTCCCGAAAATTGCGGAAGGGAGATCTTGGGCAATTTGACCGATGACGTCTGGGCCGGGGCCTGCGGGACCGGAGCGGCTACTCGGTCGGCGCCCACAAATCTCTCGTAACGCCCGATTACCGCGAAGCGCATCTCGTCAAAGTCCCGGCGAATCGAATCCTCCGTTTCGAACTCTTCATCTGAGGCGTTTTGTATTATCTTGAGGTGGGCTGCCTCAAAGTCCTCGACCAATTTGGTCACGATGGGATATCGCACGAGAAAGTTCGGTCTCTGATTTACATTGTCCGCGGCGAGCATCGACAGCTCATGAATCTCCCGCATACGTTTCACGCATAACTCGCGTTTGGTTACATTCCCTCGACTTATGATGCCCGGAATACAATCACTAGGTCAACCAAGATGACGATAGCAGCTCACTTCGATGTGAGAATATCAACAATGCCGGAAGCTGACGGTCTTCAAGTTCCGAAATGTTCGCAAAACGAAACAACTATCTCCTTGTTATGATGACGAGTCGGCTCGGCTCGAATTTCTGTTCGAAGGCACGACGGATATTTTCGAGAGGCTATAATAACGATTCGCACAATTTCAAAACGACGGTAGGTTGATGCAAAATAATAGGGTGCGAGCACTGGCGGTAGAGGGGGATCAAGTAGGATAATTAACGAGGAAGATGGTTGCAAAAGATACAAAATAATATAATAGTTAGACCAATAATAAATCAACAATTAGTAATCAATAATCAACAAAGTCCAAATTATCAATTAAATTGGCACAGGTACCCGGTTACGACGAAGAAATTGCACTCAGGTACTTATCTGATCGAGCCTCAGTAATACGCGTTGCGCGCGGTCTTACTACATAAG